AGGCTGGTAGTTCAAACTCACCAGCCACTCCTAGGAAACCTTACACTTGGTCGCTATGAGTTGGAATCTATTCCTTGGCACTTAATGACAACAATTAAATAATCAAATATAGCAGGCTAATTCTTAAGTTGATAATTTTGTATGGCCCACTAAGGATGTTATAAATACCCAAATGGCCCTTGGTAGAAAAAAGGTTCCCACTTGTGTTTTAGAATGACAACAAAGGCTATGTTGTCCTCTGGACTGTTTATGTTGTTGTTGTTGTAATGTGCTGTGGAGTTGGTTACTACTCATAGCAACCCTGTACAGGGTTTATGAGGCTGTAAATCTTTATGGGAGCAGAAAGCCTCATCTTTCTCTCGTGGAACAGCTGGTAGTTTCGAACTCCTGACCCTAAGGTTCACAGCCCGATTTGTAACCACTACGCTACCAGAGCTCCTTGGACTGTTTATATATCTTTATATATTTTATGTGTATACAGAGTCCTGGCCAGCACAACACTTAAGTGGACAATTACCTGAAAGATTGGCAGTTTGGACCCACCCAGAGGCTCATTGGAAGACCCACCTGATGACAGTTTACTTTTTAAAGGTCACAGCCCTGAAAACTCTACTCTACACTTATGGTGCCACTGTGATTCAGTCCAATATAGATATGCAAATAACCAGCACTTGTACATACACATCTATATTGAATATGTTGTTAAGTGCCATCGAGTTGGTTCCAACTTACAGTGACCCTGTATAGGGTGTCCCAGGAGTGGCTGGTGGGTTTGAACTGCCAACCTATCGTTTAATAGTCCAGTGCTTATCCTACAGCTCCACACCAGGAGTCCATATTGAATATATGTATCTAGTAATGTAGTTGAGATCATGCCGCTTACCACCATGCCTTTTTTATTTCTCAGTTTTCTTAAAAAATTGCATGAACAGTTTATTGAAAGGATTCCAAATGGCTTTTCACCCTTTGCACTTCCCCTTTCTCCTTGGCAAGTTATTTATTCTGGCTTCTGCTTCTGTTGTTGTTGTTTAGTACCATCAAGGTGATTCTGACTCATAGCGACCCTGTATAGGGTTTCGGAGGAGCAGCTGGTGAGATTGAACTACCACTGATCTTGCAGTTCAAACAGCTTTGCAGTCTGATGCAGTAACCCACAGCACCACACCAGTGCTAATGCTGCCAAGACAGGCGCTAGCTTTGGTGTCTCCAGCTGTTTAAGATGTTCATGAACGCCCATCCTCCAGACTGGTATAGATGATGTTTAGCCTCCTCCTCCTTAAGATGCCTTGTTTAAACTGGTAAATAAAGTGATGCTCTCAGGCAAGAATTGGCAGCTTTAATATTGAAAAAATAGTTCAGGCTTTCCAAACTCTCAATTTTATTTTCCCACTCTGGATCCATCCATTCATTCTTCAATCCATCTATTCATCCAGTTTTAAAGAAACACACAATAACTTTCAAAGCTAGGAAATTTATCATTGATACCATGCTATTATCTAATTAGCAATTCATATTCAAGGTTTGCCCATTACCCCTATAATGTTGTTTATAGAATATTCTTCCACTCTCAACCAGGATCCAATCTAAGATCATGGATTGCTTTTAGTTGTCAGGGCTTCTTAGATTCCTTTAATCTGGAAAATCCATCCGTCCATTCAATGTTAAAGAAGCCAGACGCCCCTCTGTCATGGAGCATATGTGAACAGCAACAATTGCTTCTTCCCTGGTCCCTGGCACTGATTTCAAACATCACAATGTTTGAGTTTATTCTGTAAGTGTTGAACTTCAGAAAATCAATGTTTTTTGACAAAATTGAAAGCATATTATCTTATTCTTCCTTCATATCTGTTTCCACAGCAAGATTACTAGAGGATAATTTTTGCAAAAAGAAAAAAAAAAAAGTTCTTCATCCTTTCTGTCTTTTATGACATTGCTCCCCCCCGCTTTTTAAAAACTGCTATAGTCCAAAGCTATAATCTTTAATCTTTTTAAGATACTAATACTTTATTATATTTTCAGCGAAGGTATATACAGCAAATTAAGTTCCCATTTAACAACTGCCATACATATTGTTCCCCTTGGAAACCCTGTACAGGGTCGCTATGGGTCGGAACCGACTCGACGGCACTTAACAACAACAACAACAATACATATTGTTCAGTGATGTTAAGGTTGAGGTGGAATTCTCACCAGGTTACTTCACGTTAAAGTTTCCATTTTTACTATTAAAAATTTATCTGTGGGAAAACACTTTGAGATGATGTAATTATCTGGTTTCTCTTCACATTGTCATGCAATAGTTTGTACCCTTTGATGATTTTGCCTGAATCCATTATTACTATATTTCCAAAGTGGTGTTTTTTTCACTCTACGAACCTACCAGCTGTTCCATGGGAGAAAGATGAGACTTTCTGCTACCGAAAAGAGTTACAGCCTTGGAAACCCTGTACAGGGTCGCTATGAGTCGGAACTGACTCCACGGCACATAACAAAAACAACAACAACAACCCTTCTTTCTACATATATCAGTTGGCATTTTCTGCAAGAAAGAGCTTTTCTTTCTTTCTTATTAATTTTTATTTTACTTATTTGTTCTCAGTATGGGTGCATATATTTGTGTTTGGAATACAAATGACTGTCATTCTGATGCATGCAAATGTCTTGATTTGGCTAGTGAGAGGCCCTTTAAGGTGGCTCCTTTGTCATTTTTAAAAGTAGTTTTTCCCTTTGTGGTATTTGTGGTAAAATGTCCTGTAGTCATCTTGTACTTCACATGTTCCAGTACTGGAATGAGCCACTCTTTATGGCGTCCTATTCCTGTTAGTGGGGAATGGTATCAGAAACCAAGCTCCGAGTTCTCCACATGCTCACAGTTCCTGAGGCACTTTCCAGAAGGCAGAGCTGAGGTTCTATATGCATTTAAACTCAGGAATTCATACAATTCCAGTTCAGTGCCATAAGATTCCAATCTATTGCCATAAGATTCTTCTTCATCTTTTTCCATCCCATATCCTTATACAAAGATCTAGTGTAGCACTGGACTGCAAGGTCAGTTTGATAATACAGACAAAATAGTTTCACCATGGCACATTCATATCATTGTGAAAAACAAACCTATAAATGAGTTCAGGATGTGTTTGTCATTCTTTTTGTGTTCAGACTGAAGGTACATAGTCAGAGTTCCTAATAAAAAAGTGACTTAAATTGGTTCTGCTTGTTTTTTTCCCCTTCAGAAAGGTTATGCTAGTCTTTTGAAATACAGTTAAGTTCATTGGTTTCTGTTTGGATTTGATTGAAAGATTTTCTTCTCTTTTTTATTTTAACTATATAACATAATATAGTCAAAACTACTTCTGGTGTGGTGCTGTAGGATCAGCACTGAACTGTGAGCCACAAGGGCAGCAGTTCAAACCCACCAGCTGCTCCCTATACAGGGTTGCTATGAGTTGGAACCAACCTGATGGCACTTAACACCAACAAGAATCAAAACTAGATAAAAGCCTTTACTCGGAGACATATCACTTCCTCTCCTGTTTTTGCATCTCAGTCACAAGTTTTCTTTTGAAGAGTTCATTTCATTATGATCCTTGTTGTTTTTACTTCATTTTTCTCTTGTTTGTCAATGTAACACTGACAGCTTCATTGGGTCAAAGATTTTGAACAGTTAGACTTTGGCTAGGTATTGTCACACTTCCCTCGTAAGATTATATAATGTTTGGGGTTACTTAGGTCTCCATCTGATCTTCCTTAACATTCTGCATTACCAGAAACCTCTTAACTATCAAAGTATTGGTTGAATTTCTCCTTTGTGCTAAGAGTGTACTTAGAATATGTGTAATCTAGAATTCTAGTGTTTGTCAACTCTGAATTGGTCATTGCTGGGAGGGAAGGGTTTTAGCCAAAATATTTGGTTTAATCTCTGGCATGGATCAAAGTTTACAGTCTCAAATTTTTAAGATCTTTCTTTTCTTTTTTAATGTTGTGGTAAAACAGACATAGCACAAAATTTAAAGTGGCATTGAGTATATTCACACCATTGTACATCCATCCCCACTACTTTTCATCACCTCAAAAGAAAATCTCTTTCTCACTAAGCAATCGCTCTCTATTCCCTTTTCCCAGCACTTGCCAACTACTAATCTGCTGTCTTTATTGATTGCCTCTTCTGGACAGTTCATATAAATGGAATCATATGATATGTAGCTTTTGGTGCCTAGCTTCGGTTCACTTCAAGGTTCATCTGTGTTGTAGAATGTATCAGTACTTCATTTTTTTTTTTGCCGTATACCACATTTTGTTTATCCATTCAGTAGCTGACAGACATTTGGGTTGACTCCACCTTTGGATTATTGTGAATAGTGTTGCGGTGAACATCCACGTACAAGTTTTTGTTTGAAGCCAATTCTTTTGGGTTAGAATTGTTGGGTTTGTGATAGTTTGAAGAACTAACAACCCCGTTCTTTAAACCTCTCTGTTGCTGGTCCCTTTTCTCTATATCCATTGTATGGAGTTCCCTTCTTATTGTTGTTAAGTACCATCAAGTCAGTTCTGACTCACATTGATCCTGCAGAGGGTTTTGAAAGAGCATCTGGTGGGTTTTAACTGCCAACCTTGTGGTTAGCAGTCCAGTGCTTATCCGACAGCACCACCATCATATTATTAGCCTTCTAAATAAATTCACACTGTCGAGTTGATTCTAACTCTCAGTGACCCTATAAAGGTCAGAGTAGAACTCAGACTGTAAATGTTTATGGAAACAGATAGCCTCATCTTTCTTCCACAGAGTGGCTAGTGGGTTCGAACCACCGACCTTGTGGTTAATACTTAGCGTACATTACCACCAGGGCTCTTTAATTCATTAATATCTGGTTAATAGTCAAATCTCACATTCTGGTAATCAGCACTGGTAGTAGTGGATCATGAGTGACCACATGTTTTTAAATATAGAAAATGACAAGTATTGATTTGGTATCTATGTATCTGCTTTTAATGAGTTTTAGTCAATGCACTGGGCTGTCAGAGGCAAAAAAGACCTGATGTTGGAAGAATCTGAGCAGACTTATACCAACAAGATTGAACATGAGGACTGGAATGAGCAAAGACAAGTAAACAGAGAGGAGATGGGTTCAACAACAGACAAAGTAGAGCAAAAAGAATCTGAATCCGAGTCCTTGGACAAGTCATTCTCCCCACAAGATCCAGATTCTCCAGGTAAGTCCTACCTTTTAACTCTGCAGACAGATCAGGTCTGAAACGAATGGCTTGGTTTATATTGCATTTATTCTTAACCTTTTTCAATCAGCACAGTAGTAAATGTAAGGATTGGTTTAGCATTTTAAAGGATACTTCACAACAATGTGGAAACTAGATGCATTCCTTAATCCCTCCCTCACCTCAGGAAACTTGAGACAATTCTGGGAGTGTCTTATACTCCATGCTTAGCACAGTGATTGGCCTTTTGCTAGCCCTGGGCAGCTGTTCACTATTATTATCATTTGTTTATCTACCACCCACTATGCTTATCTAGTATGTTGTTATTGTTATTAAGTGCTGTTGAGTTGGTTTTGACTCATAATGACTATGTACACGGTTTCTGAGGAGCGGGCTGGGTGTGTTTGAACTGCCAACCTTGTGGTTAGCAGCCCAGTGTTAATCCTGCAGTGCTACATTAGGACGTGTGTTTTATATCTTTTATATCAGTACCGTGAAAAGGCCTTCGGATAGCAGCACACCAGGACTCCTTGTCTAGTATGTTGTTGGTAAGCGCCATCGAATTGGTTCTGACTCATCAAGTTGGTTTGGACTTGTAGGGTTTTCGAGGAGAGCTGGCAAGTTTGAACTGCTGATCTTGGAGTTTTCAGTCCAGTGCTGACCCTAGAGTGCCATGCCAGGAATCCTTGTCTAGTTTGCTGTTGTTGATGTTAAGGGCCATTGAGTCAGTTCTGACTCATAGTGACCCTGCATAGGATTTCTGAGGAGCAGCTGGTGAGCTTGAACTGCTGAATTTGTGGTTCAAATGACTTTGCAGTCCAGCGTATTAACTCATAGCACCACACCAGGATTTCTTGTCTAGTATGTTGTTGTTGTTATTAACTACCGTGGAGTCGGTTCCGACTCATAGCGACCCTGCACAGGGTTTCCAAGGCTACAAATTTTATGGGAGCAGAAAGCCTCATCTTTCTCCCACGGAACAGCTGGTTGTTTCGAACTGCCAGCCTTGGGGTTAGCAACCTGATTCGTAACCACTATGCTACCAGAGCTCCTTTTGTCTAGTATCGATATGTTATATATCTGTACCATGAACTGTCCTTCAACTTTTATTTGAAGTCACTATCTCATTATCTTTTTTTTTAAAAACAAGTTCTGTGATATTAAAGGACCTTTTGCTTAAAGGGTAAATTCTGATGGGATGTTGATTCTCACAATCTTGAAAATCAACATAGTCACTTCACATCTTTGAGGAAAACTTTATTTACCCCTTGCTGGGAATAAAGGTTCTTGCAATTTGATTCAGGGGTCTCTGCTGGTTATCAAAGAGCCTTCTGTAGAGGCGGCACTTTGATCACAGTAACCTTGTAACTGGAAATGGTTACAGTATAACAAACTGATCAAAGCAGAAACCCGAATTAGAGAAAAACAGCGTTTTAAGCAAACACACATGTGCAAATACCTTGTCCTTTTCATCCAAGCAAACATGCAAATATTTCTCATCTCAGCCCAGATTATTGAGATCTGTGCTCTCCGAGCCGCTGTGGTCTCTTGGTGGTTTTCTGTTTCTGCTGGAATCAGACAGGGTTGAGTTCACCAGAACAGGAAAGGTTTGAAGACTTCAAGACTAGGCAGGCGTGACGTCATGCTGGGCCCCATCTGAGCCCTTCTCTCAGGCTTCTGTGACATTTTCTTGATTGCTTTTAAAATAGTTGTTTAGCTACTAAAAAGACCCCAGTAATAATACAATCTTGTTAAAAATTAAAAAAAAAAAAAAAATGTGTGTGACGGTCTGAAAATGTTAGCGTAAGAAGACTTTCAGGCACATCTGATGCAAAAACTAACCCTAGTCCTAACCATAAAATTATAAAAAAAAAAAAAAAATTTGCATAGAGCCATAAGTTAGTGTCTATCCCCTCCCCTCATCCTTCCCTGCTTCTAGTCCCTGAAGGAACCTAGGTGGATGCTCTGGAGTGTCTCGTCCCACTAGGTTTTCTGTGCTAATGCAACCCTATGTCCAAGTAAATGTACATGTTTGAGATCTTTAAAAATAAAGAATGGGGTCACAGAGTGGTTAAGAGTACAGACATTGGACTGGACGGGGTCCAGATCCCAGCTTTTTCAAGTCTGAGTTATGTGACCTTGAGCAAGGTTATGTGACCTTGTACTGAACCTCAGTTTTTTTGGTGTGTGTGTTTAAGTTATGGTAAATACATTTTCCATCTCAATTTTTTTTTACATGTACAGTTCAGTGTCATTAATGATGTTCATCATGTTGTGCAACCATCACCAAATTTTCCCGTCATCCTTCTGTGCCCCCCTAGACATTGATTCTTCCTTTCCTCCCCTCCTTTCTCAGTCTTTCATGGTAAAAATATTGGTGTCTACTTCTTACAGTTTTTCCGTGAGGAGTAAGTAACATAGTATACATAAAGTATATTCATTATCTTCAAGACTAAGCAGGCGTGGCGCTGGGGCTCCATTTGAGCCCTTGTCGCAGGCTTCTATGACATTTTCTTTCTTTCTTTTAAAATAGTTGCTTAGCTATTAAAAGACCCCAGAAATAGTATAATCTTAAATTTAAAAAAAATCATATAGAGACAGTAAGTTAGTATCTACCCCTTCCTCCTATCCTTCTCTGCTTCTAGTTCCTGAAAGAACCTAGGTGGATTTGAGAAGTATCTTTTTTACTGTTAGCTTTGTTATTATGGGATTTCTCCCAGCTCCTTACGTTTAGAGTGAACACATTCTTTTTAACAGATGATAATATTCTCAGTGTAGACTTATCATAACTTGTTATTGTTGTTAAGTGCTGTCAAGTTGGTTCTGACTCATGCCCTGTATAGGGTCTCAGAGGAGCAATGATTGGGTTTGAACTGCTGACCTTGTGGTTAGTAGTCCAGTGTTTATCCTGTTCAGAATAAATTGTGATGTCCTCACATTGTGAAGTGTACTCTTTTATTATGGTTGAAGAGTGAAGTGGAGGAGCATCTGTCTGAGAAGCTGTTGTCGGTGAGTAAGAATTAATGAAATTTTGCCAAAGGATGCATTTACCAGTGCTTCCTTAATGCTGTTGAAGAGATTATTGGCTGTTCTGTGTGGTGCCGTAAATTTGAAGTTTGATAGACTGAAGTGCCGTTGCATGATTATTTATGATTTCATTTTACTGCCGTGCAAAGTTTATAACGTCAGCATTTAGGGACTATCATTCATGTCAGTTTTACCAAGCCCTGAGTAGCTTCTCATGTATTGCTTTTCAGTACATTTGTTAATTTCCTCAAGCAGTACTTATATTTTACTTTGGAGTTTTTCTTTTGATGGCTATTGTGTGTATGTGATGAGCAACCACCAAACAGTCCCCAGTTACATTCCGACACTTCATTACAACCAGTAAAATATGAGGCATGGCATCTGAAAATTGGTTGGCACGATAGTCTTACTTTTATTTTCTTGCCTTTTAAAAATGTCACAAATACAATTCTAGAATTAAATAGTTTTATTGTAACACCTTAGAGAAAAAAAGAACAAAGCCAAAAACACAAAAAAATCAGATGTAGTAAGTAGATGCTTAGATGCTGCTGCTGAAACCTGTTCCCTGGGTTCCCTGCCTTTCCGGTCACTGACAGCCCTCTGGTCCCTACTACAAGCTTCATGGGTCTTTGTCAGAGGGTGTTCTCTGACACCTACTTGGCAGCCAAAGAGCAGGTGGCAAGAGCCAGGGAGTAAACTTTGGGGGGAGCAATAAGGAATGGGAGTGGGAGGCTAATGTTCTCAGCTCCTTCACCTGTCAGGTGAGGTAACTCTGAGGGAATTTTTTTTTTTTTTAAATGTTTTATTGTGAATTGTGTGATAGTCTACATGGAAGAACATTAGCTTTACATTCATTCCATCATCTATCATTTCATTGGCATAATTACCATCCCGTCCATGCATCCTCACCCAACCAACCAAAGGGTGTACCCTGTAAGCCTGCACCCCCACCTCCACCCCACCACAGTCCTCAGCCCCTTTCCATCTCCTGATCCCGAGTCCCCAGCCACACCATCTCTAGACGTCGTTGTCTCTGCCTCCATCTCAGACCTCACTGCTTCTCTGGGTAGGATCCCGCTCTCCGCTTTTCTCCATTGATGGTCCTAGGATCCTCTGCTCCTAGACTGAAAAGTTAATCACTCCCTTCCTTGCTACAAAATGTCCACCTTTAGATTTCCAACCCCTCTGAGGGATTTTTATATTGTCTGCTTGGACCCCCAAGTTGGGGTCAAGTTACCCTTAGTGGTGGTGACCTCCTCGAGAGTAACCTGTGTTGACTTTGTTTCCTTCCCCTGTCAGTGTCTCTTGGGATCACCTCCAAAATTAATCAGATCCTTCTGAGTTCTAGTGGAACCCAAACTAGATAACATTAAAAAAAAAAAATCTAGTTACTATAGAAATCTGCGAAAATATGATCAAGCAAAAGAGAAAATACAGTTGATAATCTTACCACCTAGAGAAAGAACTTTAATTGATGTTTTGGTGTGTTCATTTTCTTCAGTGTTAAAACCGGTTGCCACTGAGTTAATTCCAACTTATAACTACACTGCAGAGAAGAGTAGAACTGCTCTATAGGGTTTCCAAGGCTGTAAATCATTATAGAAGTAAGCAGCCACATCTTTCTCCCACAGAGCAGCCGACCCACCCTCCTTTCCTTTAGTAGCTAAGCATGTAACCACTGTGCCTCAACATATATGTTGTTTTTGTTGTTAAGTGCCATGGAGTCAGTTCTGATTGACAGCAACTTTGTATAGGGTTTCCAAGAGCAGCTTGTGGTTTTGAACCACCAATCTTGTGTTAGCAGTGAAGTGTTTATCCTACAGCACACACCAGGATTCCACATGTTGGTATACTTAAAATGAGATCATACTATACACATTTTGTGTACATGTTACATTTACAGCTAGAATGTCAGAAACAATTTCCTTTTTTGCTTTTTCCCCCAAATGGAAATTCTTTAGATTCTTTTTTTTACTGATGATTCTAAAAAAAAAAAAAGTAGAAATAGATCCTATTTTCCTGATATTTTGTTGTTGTTAAGTGCCCTGAGTTGGTGCTGACTCTAGCAATCATAATAAGATTTCCTAGGCTGTCAATCTTTATGGGAACTCTTGAAAACCCTATACAGGGTCACTATGGGTCGGAACTGACTTGATGTCACTTAACAACATCTTTCTGTGGTGTGGCACTGTGGGTTAATGTGCCAGACTGCAAAGCCGTTTGAACCACAGGTTCAGTGGTTCAAGCTCACCAGCTGCTCCTCGGAAACCCTATACAGAGTTGCTATGGGTCGGAACCAACTCGACGGCACTTAACAACAACAACAACAGTCTTTCTCTTGTGGAGCAGTTGGTGGGCTTGAGCCACTAACCTTGTGGTTAGTAGTCCAGTGCTTATCCTATCTACTACACTTCCTTTTTTCTAATATTGTTGTCGTTAAATGCCGTCCGGTGCTTAGCTACCCTGTATAGGGTTTCTAAGAAGCAGCTTGTGAGTTTGAACTGCTGACTTTGTGGTTCAAACTTCTGAGATAGCCGCTGTTAACTGGACTGTGTATATCTTTCCTTACTAGGTTTTTAGATTGCATTTTATATTTAAAAAATATCAATGTTGTTGTTTTTAAGTGTCATTGACTCGGTTCTGACTCATAATGACCCTGTAAAGTGTTTTGGAGGCTGTAAATTTTCTCAGGAGCACAAAACCTCATCTTTCTGCTAAGGAGCAGCTTGTGGCCTCAAACCTCGAACCTTTTGGTTTGCAGTCCAGTGCTTATTATATGCAGCACCGTCCCTCCAAATTATCAATAGAAGTCTGTTTTATATATGATTTTGTAACCTACTTTTTTATTAGCAGTATTATAGACATAAAACTGTGACACAGGAATACCTGCTTACTCATTGAAAAAAGTAAGAAAATCCAGATATACTAAAAAAAAGCATGAAACGTGAAAATCATATTCATGCTTATTACCTAGGAATAACAAACTCAGTTAACATTTTGGTATATTCTTCATTTTAGACTTTTTATTTTAACATGTTTCTAAAAAGTGTTTTATTAAACATAAATGCCCATGTAAATAAATGAATTTAAGAATGAGATCATCCTATATGAACTGTTTTGTAACTGTTATTCTCTTAGAGTCCTGGTGTGGCGCTGTGGGTTAATGCGCTAGTCTGCAAAGTCTGTTTGAACAACAAGGTTGATGGTTCAAGCTCACCAGTTGCACCTCGGAAATCCTTTACAGGGTCGCTATGGGTTGGAACTGACTTGACAGCACTTAACAACAACAACAACAACATTCTCTAAGAAGTATATAATGAACATTATGAATTTTTTTTCAATAGTAAATATTTTTAAATTGTTCAGTTTTTGACAATTTAACCAGCTTTCTGTTATTGAGAATTTGGGTTGCTTCTTGATTTTTTAAAACATGTATACATTATAGCATGCTTATAGTTAAATCCTTGGGCGCAATCATTATTTCCTTAGGAAAGTTTCTAGAAGTAGAATGATAGGATCAAAGATTATATATATTTTAATAAGAATGAGAACTATTGTCAAAATTGCTTGTCAGGAGAGTTTTGCCAATTTACACTTCTGCCAGTAGAGAAGGAAGATGGCCTTTATTTTAGTCTAAATACAATGTTATTTGTTATAATTAAAATAAGTCTTGTTGTTGAGTGCTGGCGAGTGGGTTCCAACTCCTAGCAACCCTGTATAGAGTTTCCCAGGAGCAGCTGGTGAGTTTTAACTGCCGACCTTGCATTTTAAACCAACGTTGCAGTCCAGTGCTTATCCTACAGCGCCACACCAGGACTCCGAATAAATCTTCCTAGCATGGACTTGAATTACTAGTGTTTTCAGGTAGTCCTGTACTTTCGTGACCTTTTACATTTGGCAGCTGTTTGAAAGTTGCTTCTAGTTTTATTGCTGGTGAATTGTCAAAATTCATGCCACTGGAAGCATGAATACATTTCCTTCTGTCATTAGGCATTTAAGCCTGTGAGGTCCTGTCACCCATAAAAATGGCAATTCTTGTTCATAAGAATTCAAAAGACTGCTGAAGTTAATACATTTCCATAAAATATTAATAATTCATACCAAAGACTTAAGTTTTAATTTGTTGCAGTGAAATCGTATCATCTTATTCACCAAGTTGTTTTAGAGATTTGGTTTTTCTTTTCCTACTACTGATTTTGAAATCTTATTTTCTCTCAGATGTGAACTATTGGCACCTTCGTTTCCGCTGGTCTGGAGATGTTCCCTCAGAACTCCTGAGGAAGTTTAGAAACTATGAAATCTGAACCATGCTGCATCATGGGTGAGGGAGAGAGCAGACCATCATCTAGGCTGGTAACCTGCAGTCTTTGTTCATACCGAAAAATACTGTGTTTATAAGTCCTATTTGTGAAATGCTGAGCACTGGTTAATTCCTCCATTCACGAAACCATACTTACAATGTATTTTTTTTCATGAGAAAATTTTTAGAAGAATAGTTTCTTTCAATATTTGCATATATTAAGACCACAGATCCAGAGTGGATTGTACTATCTGCAATTTCCTGTGAATGTAATTTATAAGAATTCATTAAAAATGGATCTCTTTGTTCAAGTATTTCATTGATATAGCATGCTCTCTATCAGTGCTGGATGTACAAGAAATGTTTTCTCTTGAAATGTCTGAATCCCATGAAGTGAAATAAATAATTTCTTCAAAATTATATTCTGGCTATGAAATGAAACTTGATGGTCTTGTGTGTTCTATGTTTCTTCTTCTTTTTTTTTAGTGTGTGAATAAGTGAATGAAAAACTAAGACGAAAAAGTAATTTAGAGCAGGATTTCCTTAGTTAATGACAGAGTTTTCACTGATCCTTGGAAAATGAGAAAAATCTGAATAGCCCAAGTCCTTGGGACATCTGTGGAGTAGTGGTACAAATGTTAATCAACTCAGCTACTTACAGAAAGGTTGGAGATTCAAGTCCACCCAGAGGCACCTTGGAAGAAAGACCTGTTTCTACCAGGCGTTGAACACCCTGTGGAGTACAGTTCTCTTCTGGTACATGTGAGTTCATGGCTCCCAGGAGTTAGAACTGACTAGATGAAAACCAATTTGAAAAGCTAAATTTATTCAATATAAAAGGCCTTCCTTTTTTCTTAGAAATTGTGTCCTTCTTACCTTTGTGGTTTAAAATGCACTTCTTTTTATGAAATAGGGTCATTATAGATGAAGACTTTTAAAATACAACTCTATGCTTGCTCTCTCAACTTCATCTGAAATTTTACTGTTTCATCAAATCCAAAAGTCAGGGCCAACTGTTTAGAGAATTATTTCTATCAATATTTTACCACTTCAGTAAAATGTGGCTTGACATTGTTACCATACCTGCAAGTTTTACTTGCAAAAATTAGAAAAATCAGTGTTCAATAAGCTAATAAAATGAGCTTTTGAACCACAGAAAATAATAGACGAAAGTCACAACTGCTTGTCAAATTGCCTGGCCCTGGCTAGGAACTCAACTAGATTGAATAAATGAGTTGTTGTTTTAACAAATGAGTTTTTGAATCTAACAATTAGGATTACTTTTTCCTTTTCCTCCCAGACTATCTGATTTGCAGCACTTAGGACATCATCTAATGACTTATCTAGGAAGAAAGCACCCAGGGTCCACTCAGTTTCCATTACAGACTCATGTCCCAGTTGTTGTTGGTAAGATTGAGCAGCAGCTCAAGGAAAACTGTCTCTCCCATGATGCCTAATGATGCCAAATGAGCAATGAGAAACTGCTCCCTTTTTTTTTTTTTTTTAAGTTTTTTATTGTAAATTGTGTGATAGTTTACATGGGAGAACATTAGCTTTACATTCATCCTATTGTATATCATTTCATTGCCATGGTTACAATCCCCTCCATGTGTCAACAACCAACCATAGGGCCCCGCAAGTCTGCCTGTAGGTCATTAGCACACAGCCCCTCTCCATCTCTGGATCTAGAGTCCCCAGTCACTCCATCTCTCCATGTCATCATCTCTGCCATCACTGCTTCTCTGGTTAGGATCCCACTCTCTGCTCTTCTGCCTTGATGGTTCCAGGGACCGCTGCTCCTGGACTGCAAAGTCGACCATGAAACTGCTCACTTTTAATGGGATTCAGATGCCTGGGTGGTACAAGTGTGGAAGTGCTTGACTATTAAATGAAAGAGCACCTGTTTGGACCCACTCATAAGAGCTTCAGAAGACAGGCCTGGCCATCTGCGTCACAGAACGTCTTGAAAACCCTTTGGAACACTTCTGCTCCACACACTTGGGGGTTACAATGAGCTGGAATGGATTCCAGGGTAACTCACCACACCAGCATTTATAATGGATTTATGGGGGCTTTATGACAGGTCATGCTTACATATGTTGTTGTTTAGTGCCGTCCAGTCTGAATTCTGACTCACAGAGACCCTCTACAGGGGTTTCTGAGTCTTTAAGAATCTTTGCTGGGGCAGAAAGCCTCTTCTTTCTCCTTTGGAGAAACTGGTGGGCTTGAACCACCAACCTTGTGGTTAGCAGTCCAGTATGTATCCTATGGAACTACCGTACTTGTGTTAGGCACTTTACATACTTGATTGCATTCAATTTAGCAAGAGACCTTTTACACGTAAGTACTCAATACTCCCTGAATTCAAGCACAATTTCAATACTGTAGTCTTTCCTTTTGAATGGAAAGTCAGGGGGAAACTGGACTTTTCTTCATTAATTTGTTTAAAGTTCTTGTATGTTCAGCACAACCACAGTCGGATGTATATATAACAGCACATTTTCAAAGCCACTTATTTTAGATTATGACTCACCTTCATGAAATAGCAAAAAGATAACTTTACGTGAAGACTATTAAGCTCGTAAGCCAGTTTTTAATGAGTGAGTGAATTAAGCACATATTTATTGAGAACATTATATGATAAAAGTTATAGTACCACCTATGCAGATATAAAAAGGTTTATGTCATGATAATGCCTTCAAAGGATTCAATAATTCAGTGAAATAACAGGTATGTGAATATCTATAGTTAAAAAGGAGTATATTAGTTAAAATGGTGTTAAGTGTTTAGGACGTGCTTGGTATGTAGTAAGCACTATGAGTGTCAGCCTACAGGTTCCTATTATTATGTGATGTTGTTGTGACGTGCCGTCGAGTCTGTTCTGACTCATAGTGACCTTATACACAACAGAATCAATCACTGTTCCATCCTCACAATTGTCATTGCTCTGCCTCTGTGCCAATCCATCTCCTTTGGGGGTCTTCCTCTTTTTCTCTGACCCTCCATTTTACCTAGCATGGTGTCCTTCTCCAGGAACTAGATCCTCCTGATAATATGTCCAAAGTATGAGAAACGAAGTCTTGCCATTCTGGCTTCTAAGGAACATTGTGGTTTTTGTTTAAACTTTTTACTGTGAATTGAGCGAAGGTTTACAGACCAGATCATCAGTTTTACAGTCAACAAATCATATTGTTGTTGTTAGATGCCTTTGAGTTGGTACCAACTCACAGTGACCCTATGTACAACAGAACGAAACACTGCTCAGTGCTGGCCAACCTCACAATTGTTGCCACGCTTGAGCCCATTGATGCTGCCACTTTGCCAATCCGTTCTTTTTTTTTTTTTTTATTCTGTCACCCTTAAGCAGTGCTGGAATTATGCTATTATGCTTTTTTTTTTTTTAATGTTTTATTGTGAATTACATGATAGTTTACATGTGAGAACATTAGTTTTACATTCATTCTATCTTACATCGTATCATTGCCATGGTTACAATGCCCTCCATGCATCATCAACTGACCAAAGGGTATACCCTGTAAGCCTGCCCCCTACACTACCCCACTCCCACCCCCCCAGTCTTCAGCACACAGTTGCTCTCCCTCTCTGGATCTAAAGTCCCCAGCTGCTCCATTGCTCCACGCCATTGTCTCTGCCTCCATCTTGGGCATCACTGCTTCTCTGGGTAGGATCCTGCTCTCATCTCTTCTCTGTTGATGGTCCTAGGGACCTCCGCTCCTAGACTGAAAAGTTATTCCCTCCCTTCCTTGCTATAAAATGTCTACCTTTACATTTTCAACCTTCACAATCAGTCCTGATAACAATTATTCACTATTGTATCACAAGAGACCCATCTGTATTTCATTTTATCAGCTCCGCCTAGGCAGATTGGATACTACTCACTGGAGATTCTGCCTTCCTCGAGGCCCCCTGGTTCTAGGTTCCCTCTTGAAAGCTTGTAAGCCAGTCACTTCTTGCCTTTGTAGGCCCCCCCCCACCCCCATTTTGGGTAGCCAATGTCCAAGTTGCCCATCCCTGTCTACTCTGTGTGTGGAGGGGGTGGGAATGATTCTTGTTGTAAGAATTTGTTCCCTCATTTGAGCTACTGCTTCCATAGGTGTAGGTCAAGTTCATCAAATTGCATCAGATTACTCTATTTTTCCTCTTCTTTCTTCTTCTGGTTGAGCTCTGACCAGTCATTGAAGCCAGGTCAAGTGGGTATTGTCTGCAAGTGTGGGTGTTCTTGTGCATATGCCCATTCTTTTTATCAGCTGAACACTTCACTCTCCACATTGTAGAGCTTAGCTCGCCACTTCATTGTTGTTTTTCCTTCATTTCTCCTTATCAGTGGCGAGCGTGGTCACCAATCAGATCGTGTATTCCCATTGAGTCTTAGTCTTGGAAGGGGGTTTGCACTGAGGGGACCCAACCACTTGCCTTGATGTTTCCTGGGAAAACAACTTGTTTGTTCTTGTAGTAACAGTCCGTCTGCCTCTATTGTTTTGTATTTTGCCAATCAATTCTTCTGGGGGTCTTCCTTTTTTTCTCTGACCCTACACCTTACCAAACATGATATCCTTCTCCAGTGACTGGTCCTTCCTGACAATATGTCTGAAGTATGAGAGATGAAGTTTGGCTATCCTGGCCTCCAAGGAGCACTCTGGCTGTACTTCTTCCAACACAGATCTGTTGGTTCTTTTGGCAGCCCATGACACTTTCAATATTCTCCTCCAACACCATAACTCGAAATCATCAATTCTTCTATGTTCTTCCTTATTCACTAGCCAGCTTTCACATGCATATGAGGTTATTGAAAATACCATGGCTTGGGTCAGGTGCACCTTAGTCCTCAAGTTGACATCTTTGGTCTTCAACATTTTAAAAAGGTCTTGTGCAGCAAATTTGCCTAATGCAATATGTTGTCTGATTTCTTGACTGCTGCTTCCATGTGTGTTGATGGTTGATCCAAGAAGAATGAAGTCCTTGACAACTTCAATCTTTTCTCTG